GAATTCAAGCTGAAGTCTGAGATGGCTTGGACGGAGTCATTTTGCGCTCGACTCTGAGCCAGCTGAGAGTGGTTGTATCTTTTATAATGATTGGGAATGGTGGACATACACTGAAGACCATCTGGGCATTCTGTAAAATCAGAAGGCAGAAAGAGTGTTAAGTAATGTTTTCTTAATACAGGGTTCCCACGCTTTCATGAACCATAGATTAAAGGACTTTTTTTAAAAGCACCATTAACTTTAAATCCAGAACCATTGTAATTTATACCCCAGCATATATATATAGTGCCATTAAGTCCTTACTGTACAAAGGCTGTGCAATTAATCAACATTAAATCACAATCACAAATGAAACATTGCAATTAGCTAAATGCAAGTGGCTGCGATATGGAATATATATGCATTATTTCATTTTCCCCTGCCCAGAGCAAATGTGTGACTGCCATCAGTGTGTGACAGTCTTACTAGCCATTTGAGTAAGTACACTTTCGTTCTGCCCAATCCGAACTTTTCAATCTGCCTCTTATCAGCCTGAGTGTTCTGTATTTTATAATATATATTTTTGTGTGTATAATAAGCTACATTATCTCCCTAATTTGATTGGAACTTACAGAAAGGTAAGGTCATTTTATTTGTGCTTATTGTTTGCTTTAGATAAAAAATTAGTGTTGAATTACAGAATATTTAAAAACAAATTTGAATAAATGTTGAAGTATGTTAATATCTTTCTTTTTAGTTTCTTTTTTCAACTAACACTCACTGCATTTCAGCAGTACTACAGGTTAGTGAGCTAAATCTTGACAACAAAATTAAATTGCAAATCAAATCACAATCGCAATATCGGAAAAAAAAATGCAATGAGATATTTTCCTCTTTTGAACACCTCGATTATTTGGATCAACTGTGTTTGATCAGGGTTGCAGCAAAACTGTGCAGAGCTGCAACCCTCCAGAAATGGATTTTGAGACCTATGATTTATATTAATGTCCGATATATTATGTTTCTGAAATATTGATAAAATGTGCAGTTTGTCAGTGTTATTGTACAAGAGTAAAATTTAAGATTTTTAATTTAAGAATTCGGATGCACGGTGGCGCAGTTAGTAGCACGATTGCCTCACAGCAAGAATGTCGCTGGTTTGAGCCTTGGATGGGTCAGTTGGTGTTTCTGTGTGAAGTTTGCATGTTCTCTCAGTGTTGGAGTGGGTTTCCTCTGGGTGCTCCTCCGGTTTTCCCCACAAGTCTAAAGACATGCATTATAGGTGAATTGGGTAAGCTAAATTGTCCATTATGTATGGATGTTTCCAAGTAACGAGTTACAGTTGGAAGGGTATCCGCTGCATAAAACATGCGTTGGATAAGTTGGCAGTTTGTTCTGCTGTGGCGACCCCAGAATAATAAAGGGACTAAGCCGAACAGAAAATGAATGTTCTGTTTTTGTCAATTGAGTACAATTCAAGCACTTTAAAAGAGAGTTTTTAAAAAAAAAAGTACTTTCAGGAAGTGTGCAAACCCTGCTTATATTACACAATAATATTATTGGAAATACTGTACTAATGACAGGGTGCTAAAACCTTATTAACAATGAAATGTTGTGACATTTACAGTCCTTTATAGTAAATGTTATGTAAATATAATACATTTTAATTATTTACTTGCATTAAATAATGTGTAGGTGTTTAAGTCTAAATAGTAATATTATTTCATAAATCGAGATAACATGAACAATATGATATGATTCGTTAAATTTAAATAATTTTTTTTGTTGTTGATGTTTATTCAGTCATATTTTCAGCTGAGTTGGAATTCTATAACATGCTGAACAGAATTGATTTTAGACCAAGGATTCAACATCTGGAAATGTAAAAGGCATCTGTAAGGTTTGTAAAAACACCTAATTTTAAATTGTGAAAATTCAAATGAATAAATGGGTCTAAAAAATAAGTTGTATTACATTTAACACTACATTTATATTTAGTTTCTAAAAAAAGCTACATTGTTTTATTGTACAAATTAACATTTAAGATTTTTTTTTTTATTATTACAATTTTTTTTTGTAATTTTCCACAATTATTTATTTGAATGCATCTTTTTCTTTTTTGCTTATTTTTATCATAAGTTAAATTATTTGATTATTACAATATTATGATTCCGAAATCTGTTTTTTATAATAATGTGTTCATCTTAATTAAATTGTTGTTTTTTTATGTATTATTTTCTAAATGTATTTTTTCCATTATGTTCTCATTCAACAAATTCAGATTGACCCCCTAGCACTCTGCTTTGGCCCCATTAGGGTCCCCAACTCCCGGTTTGAAACCCCTGCGTTATGAAATTGAGATGTCCAAAATGTACAATGTGAGGAAGACATTTAGGAGACAAAGTAAATGTATTAACTATTAAAACCATTACCTTTACAGTTGTCAGCAGCTGTATCTAAGCATTCTGCAACATGCCATTGTTGAGACTGGACAACCAGGATGGAAAATGGCATTTGACAGACAGGACAGAAGCCTCTTCCTGACTGAGAGTCTGCATTAGGGACATCCCGAGAAACTGTCCCATGATTCACATCCTCGGATCCTGAGTTCACTGTGTTATTAGGAGCATTACTCCCAATCTGGTGGTCTAAATCAGTGTGTTTTTCAGCACTTTTGACTGTTTTTTGCACTGTGCTCTCCTTCTTCCTCTTTGTCACATGTTCTCTTGATCCTTGTGATTTACAGCTTCGTTTTTTGTTTTTCTTAAGAGGTTTATAATCCCAAATGTCACTCTCAGACCCGCTCTGGGACATTTGTATCCAGTTTTGTAACAGAGCAGTTTTGTAACATCACATTCATGATCTCTTAGGAAACTAAAACTGCGACTAGAATCCGCATCATACAGAAATCTGTCCAGAAAGCATAAAAACATTCATAAAAGCGCATTTTGTTACAGTATATCAATAAAAACTGTTCACGTTAGATAAATCAGACGAGTGTTTCTTACCGCCAATGTTAAAAGAGTATTTATTTTTGCGTTGATATTAGCATTTTCCCCATTGCCAGATTCTTCCGAATAATTACATAAAACATATCGAGTGTTTATTTATACATTTATTACGTAGATTATTTTTAAAAGTTTGTCATATCCTAATTACATACAAACGATTTTTTTTTCTTTTGTTATCAAGAATGCTGACGCGATATGTTTGTCGAAAGTGCCGAGACTAATTTCTGCGTTGTTGTGAGTGTGACTGTGAGAATCATGGCGTCTTACAGTAAGCTGACAGATCTTTTCCTCATTCAGGGCCAGCTAGACTGTGATTTAGAGGAAACGACGAGTCAAGAAGAGAAGGAAAAACTCGTACATGAATATTTGCTCAAAATAGACGAGAGGGAGGATTTGATTGTACCGGATTTTGAAGAAGGCAAGTGTATTAATACACTCAATGGCAGTGGGAGTGTATACAGTGATTGTATCTCATGGGAGTGGCTTTAGTTCTTGAGCAGAACTTAATCATTGATCGATTCTTGGTTTTAGATAAAAGACTGACAACATAAAACATGACAAGTCGATTACATTCGACGGTTGTTTATTGCTCTGAAATGTTGTATTAAGTCAAAAGTGAGCCTGCTACTGCTGTAACAAGTGATCTAATGAACATCTAGTTTTGGCTGGTCTCAGCAAACTTACAGAGAGTACTTAATTACTAGATTTAATTTACATATATTGTAACTAAATAGTTATTTTTAATATTTTTTAAGGGTGAATTCATATAGAGTTAGAGACTATTCTACTATAAACTTCCTGACAAAAGTCTTGGCGTTGATTGTAGTTGTAAGAGCAACAATACCTTGACTTGGCAGAAGGTAAGATTCTCACAGTTTGGTGAAGAAAAAATCATGATTTGGGGTTACATTCAGTATGTGGTCATACGTGAAATCTTCATATAAGCCACTTCTAATACCAAATGATCCAGTAAAATTCAAGTTATTCTTAGTTGTCCCTAAAACTTGTATAGGCCACAGGACTTTTGTCAGGTAACGTTAGTGTACGTTTTTACTACTATATACTTAAGACAGCTAATGAAATGAGTAACAAACAACAGCCTGTCGCAATAATTAATATATCGACTTAATGCACAACACATGGACATGAACTAGATCATTTTTGGTGATGCAATATATATTAACCATACAGAAAAAAACAATTCTAGCAACATTTTAGGTGAGTGTGCAACATCTCTATCTGTATTAAAGGTGTCAGTGTCAGTATGGTTAAAGAAATCACTAGTATTACTAGTACTTTAAATTGCTTTAGTATATTTTCATGTGGGTGTTTAACAACCAAAAATAAATCTGGAACGCACTTTGCGTTGCAGTTTTTTCTTGACATTTATTGTTATTTATTTATTTATTTCACATTCCAATGCCTAGTTATTAAATAGTTTAAATGGCTATACTTAAATTAAATATTTTTAAGAAAAAATTATATACTTTTTTTTTTTTTTTAAATCGGGTGGCAGTGGCCCAGTAGGTAGTGCTGTCACCTCACAGCAAGAAGGTTGGTGGTTCGAGCCTCAGCTGGGTCTGTTGGCATTTCTGTGTAGAGTTTGCCTGTTCTCCCTGCGTTCATGTGGGTTTCCTCCGGCTACTCCGGTTTCCCCCACAGTCCAAAGCCATGTGGTACAGGTAAATTGGGTAGGCTAAATTGTCCGTAGTGGATGAGTGTGTGTGGTTGTTTCCCAGAGATGGGTTGCAGCTGGAAGGGCATCTGCTGCGTAAAAACATGCTGGATAAGTTAGCTGTTCATTTCGCTGTGGCGACCCCGGATTAATAAAGGGACTAAGCCAAAAAGCAAAATGAATGAATGAATAAAATAAAATAAAATCTTTTGACGAGTGTACTGGCATGTAGATGGCATTATATAATGAGTGGCATAAAATGGTTTTAAAATCACAATAATATTGTTTATCGCAATATATTTTGGTGTAATATATCATACAACAAAAAAATAGATATCATGACAGGGCTACAATCAGCAGTTTACAAAACAATTATTTGTGTCAGTCATATTTAAAACTAATCATTGATGACATTAAATGTTCAGCCCCAAAATACTCATTAGTTGTAATTTTAGTTCTTTATGTTTTGCCGCTCTCCTTTAAATCACCTGTTTATAATAAAATGTACTATTAAGACTGTAACAGTGGCTCAATGGTTAGCACTGTCACCCAACAGCAAGGAAGTTCCTGGTTCGAGTACCGGGTGGGCCAGTTGGCATATCTGTGGTTATAAGTTTGTGTGGTTTTCCAGCACAATCCAAAGACATGGTATAATTGAATTGGGTAAACAAACTTGCCGTAGTGTATGTGTGTGAGTGAATATAAATGGGTGTTTCCCAATACTGGGTTGCGGCTGAAAGGGCATCCGCTGCGTAAAACATATGTTGGAATAGTTGGTGGTTCATTCCGCTTTGGCAACCCCTGACAAATAAGGGGGTAAGCTGAAGGGAAATTAGTGATTGAATGAAGTTTGACTGTTATGCTGAATGACTAAGAAACATTGTTTCATCCAAGAGTTATAAGAAAAATTAAAACATTCAATCAACCCTTTAACTGGAAATGTAACCACCCAGTTGACCTTTATTTCTCCATAGCTTATCATTACAACAAAAACTTGTTTTTGCTTAGTGTCAGAAACAGAGTTTAACCAAATTTAAATGGCAATTTTTTGTGGGAATTTTTTTTAGTGGAAGCTAAAGTGCTAAATAGTCACTTTACTTGTTTTATATGTGGCAACAGCATGTCTGCTTGTAATATACTGTATACGTCATCAAGGTGGTGCAGAGCATGGCCGCCGTGTTGTGAGCTCCTAGCAAACTTTGTTTTGTTTTGTGTGTTTTACTTGTATTTTTGTCATTTTTCGTGCTGGATGTACACACTCTCATTAACTATGACAGACACACACTTTGGGAAATTGGCTCCCTCGTTGCACATCGAAGACCGGACTTTGTCTTTGAGTATTGTTGTATTTGCACTATCTGTATTTTGTACTGTCTGGAGCCAGCACCTAAGCTAACATGTGCTGCTGATGATGTGACAATAAAAGTGATTTGACTTGAGTTTGAACCGCTGATTGAAAAATGGAAATTTTTAACCATTCCACTGTTATTTTGCAGGACTGGAATGGTTAAACACAGACGGTCCGCTGTCACTCAGGAAGGAACTATCAGGGAAAGTGGTGCTGCTTGACTTCTTCACCTACTGCTGCATAAACTGCATCCACATACTTCCTGATCTACATCAGCTGGAGAAGAATTACTCCATACAAGGTACATCGAGTTGTTAGGCACGGGCATTATGTTTGGGTATGAATGTAAATAAGAATGTGAGTGATAAATTGCATAATGGCATCTAGCCTGACTCATTTATTTTAAGTGCTCTCTATGATGTATATAATACACGGTTAGATAAATGAAAGGCATCTTCTAACATGGAAACAGCCAATCCAGATGAATGTTTCTTGGCTGTTTTGATTTGAACCATGCAATCATGTTGTAGATCATTCCCATGGGATCACAGGATCAGACTTTTTTGGATTTTGATAACTATTTTCTTCTGGTCCAGCAACACATTGGTATTATCATAAAACTTTATCGGATATGGGGCTTTAAATATCCGTGGACCGGACCTGAGGGCAGGGAGTTTCGCATAGATACACCATTCTGCTGGTCTGCTGCTTATTATAGCAGCTCTGTGACCAGTGCTATCAGCTCCAGCTGTCAGTAGCCCGTCAGTAGCCACTCCTGTTGGATCATCCAGGGCCACTGGCAATGCAGCCGTCAGCCCACTCGCTGGCATATCTCACACATACCTTAATGCTGGCACTGCTTTTGGTACATTCTGTTACCACTGCTTTGTTAAAGGAGCTCACCACTATTCCCAGTGTCTTGCTAATTATTAGAGTTGATTGTTGTTAGAGTTTATTGTTGTTGTTGATGTTGTTAAATTAAAGAGCAGTGGCCTTTCAGTTTTATGCAGATAATTTGTTTTTATGCATTTTGAATACTGCTGGTTTTAGAAGGTTATTATAGAAATTAATTCAGAATATACTTTTGATTTGTCAGTATTTCAGTGGCTTTTAAAACACAAATTCAGATTTATTTATGGCAACATATTTTGTACAAATACTAACCTTATATTAGAGCTTTTTAAGTTTATATGTACATTTTACAGTAAATATTTGAGTACTTCCAGCCCTATCCAATGCTTTTTGTGTGATTTACTATTAGGTACGAATCCATTTATATAGCAATTTTCAAGCAGCATGACAAGTGTTTGTTTTGACAATTACTTCTACTGTAAAAAGTGTCCTATTTAGTTCTTTTTTTTCCTGAGTAATGATTAATAACTGTCACACATTTTTACCAAAATTTACATGATCAAATAAAATTAAATCAAATTACTTTTATTGTCACATCATCAGCAGCATGTGTGCTATGATGAGAGAAAAGCTTAGGTGCTGGCTCCAGACAGTACAAAATACAGACAGTGCAAATACAAAGACAGTGCAAAATACAGACAGTGCAAATACAATGACAGTGCAAAATACAGACAGTGCAAATACAATGACAGTGCAAAATACAGACAGTGCAAATACAACAACAGTGCAAAATACAGACAGTGCAAATACAACGACAGTGCAAAATACAGACAATGCAAATACAATGACAATGTGAAATTGACAGCGATATCTATAATGAATAGGTGTCCACATAGTTGTAGGCAGTATTGTTTTAAGTATGGATTGATGCCCACTATAATGTTATTCGGTGTAAAAAAAAAAAAAAAAAAAAAACTTGACTGGCATACCTCTTACAATAAAATACTTCTTTATTGTTTTAATTTTTTTTAACATATGTTCCAGGTGATGATGAGGAAACATTTTTAAATCTTATTTTTACATTTACTTTTTTTTACATTGAAAAAAATACATTTATTAGAAGCCTTGGCTTAGACACTT